TTGTGGTCTACATAATTTTTTTAAACAAAATTGAATCTGACTTTGAAGAAACATGTTAGCAGAGAGGTACTCAAAAGTTGTTCTCAGTGAAGAAGACATGTCTGTTTCTTGTCCATTTGTGTGGTTTTCATATTCATAGAGAAATATCGTATCTTATATCCAATCAGTTTCTCTCTGAGACCCGAGGTTCCCTTCCCCCACTTAACAAGCCAAGAGTGCAAGGTGTCTCAGCCCATCTGACAATTTTCCTTCCCGCTTTGGATCCAGGGTGGTGATATTAAATGTCGCTGGCACATCTTGACAGTGTCCACTTCCTTTATACCAGTCACGCTCCAATGATTTTACTGTGAAGAGACACAAGCTCCCACCTTCCGTTCCCCAGGGAGGGGTGCAAACCCAGCCAGGTCCTTGTCTTCAGATACCTGCCTGTCCCTAAGACTTCCAGGAACCTGGAGCTCAGCCTGCTCTTAATTTGTTGCAGGTTCTTACCCTTGAGCAACAGCCGAAGACTTCAGGTGGCCAGAGGGCTACAGAGCAGCCAAATCTGGCTCTAAATAACCTTAGAAACATTCCTAGGAGAGGAGATGGAGACTTTTGAAACCTCGACTCAAGGGGAAAATAAATCAGTGTGAATGGATATTTCTCAAAGTACACTGGCGCAAAAGGGATTCTGTGGCTTAATTATGAAACTTCCATTTCACCTCCTTCCTCATGGTCTTACTTTGTTGTTTGTTGTTGGCTCTATCTGATTTTTTTTCAATTAATCCTGGAAACATTACTGACTTAGGGAGAAAAGGGCTAAAATTATTTCTGCTTGCTTCCTTCTACACTTTGAGAACAAAGACTTTACCCGTGTGTGACTGCAAAGCCGTTAGCTTGCTTTGTGATGTGAGCATTGTTTCAGCCATTGCCTGAAGATGTTTTGGGGCTGCGTATGCTTATCACTTCGGGGGGATCTGGGTTGGAGAAGGAATTCTAACCTACATTTGGAACACCGTGATCTGACACACTCTCCAGAGGAGCAAGACTCTGGCCTTCCCAGGAGCCGTATTACGTGTAAGAAGAACCACTTGGAGGTAGAAAGGGTTGTTCAAAGATTCTCACAGGGAAGTTACTCACGGGAAGCGGTCTCTAAGGAAGGCCACCACATAGGATCACACAGTTTGTGCATCTTATAAAAGTGACCAGCGGCCAGGTGCAGTGGCTCATGGCTGTAATCCCAGCACTTTGGGAGACCAAGGCAGGCGGATCATGAGGTCAAGAGATCGAGACCATCCTGGCCAACATGGTGAAACCCTGTCTCTACTAAAAATACAAAAAAATTAGCTGGGTGTGGTGGCATATGCCTGTAGTCCCAGCTACATGGGAGGCTGAGGCAGGAGAATTGCTTGAACCTGGGAGGCGGAGGTTGCAGTGAGCCGAGGTCGCGCCACTGCACTCTAGCCTGGCGCCTGGTGACAGAGTGAGACTGTGTCTCAAA